TGTCAAAAACTGAAATCGCGAATTTCCAAAAAAAAACAAAACCCGTTTTTTCGCTAAAACGTTGTAGTTTTTTCGCTATAACAAAGCAAATACTGATTCAAAGTATGGATTGTCATACCTTTCTGAACTCGTTATTAAATTTCCTAACGATTGGCATTTAAACCTTGACAATTTATTCATTTTTAATTTTTCGTAAAAAATCATGGGGTACCCCCTTATAAAAAAATTAAAAATTGGCGAAAATTTTATTTTTCCAAAATTACACGGAAAGTTTTATGGATTTATAGCAAATTTTGTTATCTGTTCAAAACAGTATGAATTTTTGGTGTAGGACCATTTTTGGCCAAGTTACAGCAAAAAAACCAAAAGAAAGAATTCCAATTTTTGTCAAAAACTGAAATCGCGAATTTCCAAAAAAAAACCAACCCCGTTTTTTCGCTAAAACGTTGTAGTTTTTTCGCTATAACAAAGCAAATACTGATTCAAAGTATGGATTGTCATACCTTTCTGAACTCGTTATTAAATTTCCTAACGATTGGCATTTAAACCTTGACAATTTATTCATTTTTAATTTTTCGCAAAAAATCATGGGGTACCCCCTTATAAAAAAATTAAAAATTGGCGAAAATTTTATTTTTCCAAAATTACACGGAAAGTTTTATGGATTTATAGCAAATTTTGTTATCTGTTCAAAACAGTATGAATTTTTGGTGTAGGACCATTTTTGGCCAAGTTACAGCAAAAAAACCAAAAGAAAGAATTCCAATTTTTGTCAAAAACTGAAATCGCGAATTTCCAAAAAAAAACAAAACCCGTTTTTTCGCTAAAACGTTGTAGTTTTTTCGCTATAACAAAGCAAATACTGATTCAAAGTATGGATTGTCATACCTTTCTGAACTCGTTATTAAATTTCCTAACGATTGGCATTTAAACCTTGACAATTTATTCATTTTTAATTTTTCGTAAAAAATCATGGGGTACCCCCTTATAAAAAAATTAAAAATTGGCGAAAATTTTATTTTTTCAAAATTACACGGAAAGTTTTATGGATTTATAGCAAATTTTGTTATCTGTTCAAAACAGTATGAATTTTTGGTGTAGGACCATTTTTGGCCAAGTTACAGCAAAAAAACCAAAAGAAAGAATTCCAATTTTTGTCAAAAACTGAAATCGCGAATTTCCAAAAAAAAACCAACCCCGTTTTTTCGCTAAAACGTTGTAGTTTTTTCGCTATAACAAAGCAAATACTGATTCAAAGTATGGATTGTCATACCTTTCTGAACTCGTTATTAAATTTCCTAACGATTGGCATTTAAACCTTGACAATTTATTCATTTTTAATTTTTCGCAAAAAATCATGGGGTACCCCCTTGTAAAAAAATTAAAAATTGGCGAAAATTTTATTTTTCCAAAATTACACGGAAAGTTTTATGGATTTATAGCAAATTTTGTTATCTGTTCAAAACAGTATGAATTTTTGGTGTAGGACCATTTTTGGCCAAGTTACAGCAAAAAAACCAAAAGAAAGAATTCCAATTTTTGTCAAAAACTGAAATCGCGAATTTCCAAAAAAAAACAAAACCCGTTTTTTCGCTAAAACGTTGTAGTTTTTTCGCTATAACAAAGCAAATACTGATTCAAAGTATGGATTGTCATACCTTTCTGAACTCGTTATTAAATTTCCTAACGATTGGCATTTAAACCTTGACAATTTATTCATTTTTAATTTTTCGTAAAAAATCATGGGGTACCCCCTTATAAAAAAATTAAAAATTGGCGAAAATTTTATTTTTCCAAAATTACACGGAAAGTTTTATGGATTTATAGCAAATTTTGTTATCTGTTCAAAACAGTATGAATTTTTGGTGTAGGACCATTTTTGGCCAAGTTACAGCAAAAAAACCAAAAGAAAGAATTCCAATTTTTGTCAAAAACTGAAATCGCGAATTTCCAAAAAAAACCAACCCCGTTTTTTCGCTAAAACGTTGTAGTTTTTTCGCTATAACAAAGCAAATACTGATTCAAAGTATGGATTGTCATACCTTTCTGAACTCGTTATTAAATTTCCTAACGATTGGCATTTAAACCTTGACAATTTATTCATTTTTAATTTTTCGCAAAAAATCATGGGGTACCCCCTTATAAAAAAATTAAAAATTGGCGAAAATTTTATTTTTCCAAAATTACACGGAAAGTTTTATGGATTTATAGCAAATTTTGTTATCTGTTCAAAACAGTATGAATTTTTGGTGTAGGACCATTTTTGGCCAAGTTACAGCAAAAAACCAAAAGAAAGAATTCCAATTTTTGTCAAAAACTGAAATCGCGAATTTCCAAAAAAAACAAAACCCGTTTTTTCGCTAAAACGTTGCAGTTTTTTCGCTATAACAAAGCAAATACTGATTCAAAGTATGGATTGTCATACCTTTCTGAACTCGTTATTAAATTTCCTAACGATTGGCATTTAAACCTTGACAATTTATTCATTTTTAATTTTTCGCAAAAAATCATGGGGTACCCCCTTATAAAAAAATTAAAAATTGGCGAAAATTTTATTTTTCCAAAATTACACGGAAAGTTTTATGGATTTATAGCAAATTTTGTTATCTGTTCAAAACAGTATGTATTTTTGGTGTAGGACCATTTTTGGCCAAGTTGCAGCAAAAAAACCAAAAGAAAATATTTAAATTTTTGTCAAAAACTGAAATTCCGAATTTCCAAAAAAAAAACAAAACCGTTTTTTTCGCTAAAACAAAGCAAATACTGATTTAAAGTATGGAGTGTCATACCTTTCTGAGCTCGTTATTAAATTTCCTAACGATTGGCATTTACACCTTGATATTTTATGTATTTTTAATTTTTCGCAAAAAATCATGGGGTACCCCCTTATAAAAAAATTAAAAATTGGCGAAAATTTTATTTTTCCAAAATTACACGGAAAGTTTTATGGATTTATAGCAAATTTTGTTATCTGTTCAAAACAGTATGTATTTTTGGTGTAGGACCATTTTTGGCCAAGTTGCAGCAAAAAAACCAAAAGAAAATATTTCAATTTTTGTCAAAAACTGAAATTCCGAATTTCCAAAAAAAAAAACAAAACCGGTTTTTTCGCTAAAACAAAGCAAATACTAATTTAAAGTATAGAGTGTAATACCTTTCTGAACTCGTTATTAAATTTCCTAACGATTGGCATTTAAACCTTGATATTTTATGTATTTTTAATTTTTCGCAAAAAATCATGGGGTACCCCCTTATAAAAAAATTAAAAATTGGCGAAAATTTTATTTTTCCAAAATTACACGGAAAGTTTTATGGATTTATAGCAAATTTTGTTATCTGTTCAAAACAGTATGTATTTTTGGTGTAGGACCATTTTTGGCCAAGTTGCAGCAAAAAAACCAAAAGAAAATATTTCAATTTTTGTCAAAAACTGAAATTCCGAATTTCCAAAAAAAAAACAAAACCGGTTTTTTCGCTAAAACAAAGCAAATACTGATTTAAAGTGTGGAGTGTAATACCTTTCTGAACTCGTTATTAAATTTCCTAACGATTGGCATTTAAACCTTGATATTTTATGTATTTTAAATTTTTCGCAAAAAATCATGGGGTACCCCCTTATAAAAAAATTAAAAATTGGCGAAAATTTTATTTTTCCAAAATCACACGGAAAGTGTTATGGATTTATTGCAAATTTTGTTATCTTTTCAAAACAGTATTTTTGGTGTAGGACCATTTTTAGCCAAGTTACAGCATTGTTTCATATTGTTTTGATAAAAGGCAACACTACGTATGTGTGCTAGTCCCTGAAGGTATTTTTGGACCTTCGAAACTTCCAATGTGAGCCTCCGTAATGTCCGGAATCGTGAAAATCACTTTTAAGATACTTACCTCGAATATTGACCCTCAATTCCAAATGAATAAAAACAATAACGCCTTTTTTAAAGGGATTCTAAACAATTTATTGAACACTTTCTCTTCTCACTCGCTTTGCTCGGCTTATAAAAGTAGACAAAAAAAATCGAAGATATATATAAGGCGGTATATATGCGGGTATGTATGCGATATGTATAAATCATTATGCAAATAAATAAGTGGACTACGGGGCGTACTAACTGATAAAAGTTGATATGGGAAGTCTGGGTAAATGGCTGACAGTGGGAGGCATAAGTATTCGGCTTAGTCTACGGCTTAAAGCGCTTAAAATATTTAGTGACTAATTCAAGTGTATATTTGTTATGTGTATATTTGTGTGTTTGTGTGCAAAATGCGTGTGTATGCGTGTCTTCAAAGTCTTAAGAGAGTCTTACGAGAAATACTCTAAGTAATGAATTATATATCGGCTCAAATGCTGAAGAAAGCTACAAGTGATTGTCAGATGGGTATGATGGGCTGATCATGGCTTAGCACCGTTTTACATGAAATAGAACCTAGGCTTAAACTAAAACAAAAATAATCGATTATCGACTGCCACCAGGGGAAGGGAGAGGAGTGAAAGGGACACAAGAATTGCAAGTGGTGTCGTGAAGAGAGGTTTCTAGAGGTAGAGAGCTTACGGGGAAATGGAAATGGAAATGGAGGTGGAGGTGGAGGACAAGGAGAACCCAGTAAACGGCTTGAGTTAATGTTAAATGATTTGTATCAAAAATTATACTAACGAAGTGTACGCTACAAATTTAAGAGCCGCAGACGCAGACACAACTGTACCTAGAACCGTAAACGGAAGTGGAAACGGAACGGGAACGGAAACGGAAGCGCCGACGAAATGCGGTTACTAGCGATGGCACTAATAGGGTTGCATTTTGAGAATCAATGGCGGTTCAGTAGTAAGTAATAAGAATTTTAAATATAATGCTGCACAGGCAAGATATTGATATTGTAAAACTCTAATTCGATTTCTTCTTGTTCCTATTATTCAATTTAGTTGATTTAAAGTTTGGAATATTATTAAATTTAAGAACAGATTTGAGTAATACATTTTCTATTTTATCTCTCCAACTGAAGCCGCCAAGACCCCGATAACCATCCACTATTGCCAATGCCAAGCCACCTGATATCCGACCGCCCATCCACCATCCGATCCTCCATCCTCCAACCTCCAAACGGAACTAGTTGCAGTCGCACAGTCGGAGGCGTGCTCACGACATCGCCCGCTTCTTGGAGAGCGTGCCCTGCAGATCCGCCGGCGAGGGCAGCTGGATGACGGGATGCGGCAGCTGGGGCAGCTGGGCCAGCTGGGGATTCGTGAAGGCGACGGCCCGCTCCTTGGCGCTGGCCGAGAACGAGGCGAAGGGGCGCAGGCGGACGTAGAGCACGGCGGAGGTGAGGCAGGAGGTGACCAGGATGCCCAGCAGCACGATGAGCGTGATGGCGAAGCCCGGCGTGGTCATGCAGATGAGTCCCTCCTCGCGCAGCGGGAACACCATCGTCTGTGGACTGCGATCCACCCCGTTGCCAAAGGAGGAGCCATTCAAAGAGGAGCTACCATTACCATTCTCGTCAATTGCAAAGGTCAGATCCCCAGAGGACACCACCTTGATGATCCTGTTCAGGCCCACCTGCGGCTCGGCCACCGCTCGAGCCCTCCTCTGGACCCTCCGCTCGTCCCTTCGCTTGCCAATCGCACTGGCCACATGATACGCATCCACATGGAGCTGCGGCGGCGGTCCGTACTGCGACTCCGGACCCACCTGCAGATGGTGGACGTCCTGGAGGTTCGTCTCCGCCGAGCATTGCTCCGGGCAGTGGTAGCGGCAGATCTGGATGGTGCACTGGAAGTGCACCTCCATCGAGTCGGGGAACTTGAAGGCCTGGAAGTGGGCATACGACAGCACCGAGGCGGAGGCCCCGAAGTTCTTGATCTTCGTGAAGCGGGACATTAGCTTGGGTCGGGTAACGCAACCCCTCTGGTCCACCAACTGAATGGGCGCCCTCTTGCCGTCGTGGGCCACACAATTGCGCACCAGCATATCGAACTTGGAGTCGTCGTCCTTGATGGCCAGCACCATGGTCATTGTCTGGCCGATCTTCACCAGCCCCGAGACCTCCGAGGCCCACGGGCCCTTGCCCACTTGGATTTGCATCCAGCAGCCCACATTGTCGCCCGCGAAATCCGCCCTCACCACATCCAGCATGTCGACGGGGAAGGGCCTGAAGGTCACGCTCTTCTCGTACTGATCGTGCCACGTGCAGCGCAGCTTCCTCGCCTGATCCCACACCTCCTGCACCTGCGGATCGTACTGGATGACGATGATGTTCTCGAAATACGTGCCCGCCCCCGTGCTTCCCGCCTCGTGGCCATAGCCCTGGTTGTAGTTGTCCGTATTCCCGGCGGTTCCGCACTCGTGCAGCCCAATGTCGAAGCTAGCCGAGCTGCGGCCCAATCCGGAGGGCAGGTGGACGCAGTTCATGTTGCTGTAGTGGCCCTTCGAGAAGACGATGCCGTTGAAGGGCTTGTCGAACTGCACGAACACCTTCATGCCGTTCTTCTCGCACTTCACGTCCAGGGAGACGATCTTGGGCATGTCCTGCACGGGAGCCGCCCAGATCTCGTTGTTGCTCGATCCGCCCACACTCAAATCGGGCACCTGCACCTGTTGCTGCTGTCCCTGCTGCTGCTGCTGCTGCTGCTGTTGCTGCTGCTGCTGTTGCGGCTGCACCTGCAACTGCAACTGCGGCGGCGGCTGCGGTCGCTGCTGCAGCTGCGGCGGCGGCGGTCCCTTGTAGAACTGCGCTCCCGGCGGCGGCGGCGGTCCGAAGGGCTGGCCAAAGCTCAGCGGAATGTTCTGGTGATTGTCTACAAGTGGAGCAGCAAACGCAAATTAAATTACTTACGCATCAAGCTAGGAACTTAATATTATATTTTAATATTAACTTTTGATTTTTAAAGGCAATAAGAATCAAAGATTACATATTTCATAGCTTAATGGACATAAACATAATTATTATACCCTAATATTCCCGTGTATTATTTGTATATTATTATATAATTTCATTATTATTATTCCAGTTGTTCGAATTTCCTTAAAATTAATTTTGTTGACATGTTAACTTGATATTTATTATTTCAAATTTTTATTAATAAGAAATAAAGATAAATTGTCCCATATTTTAAAGTAATTTGTTTTGTTAAATATTTCAGTTTTTTTTGACAATAATATATTATTTTTTTTAAATATTGCTCAGCATTAATAAAAAAATAAAAAAAAAAATATTTAGGTAGAAGAGGACTTTAATTTTTAAAATGGGCTCCATTTATTTATTTTAATATTCAAATATTACTCAGCACAAAAAATGAAAACGTGTTTTCTAATAATCTATAAATATGTGGTCTTTAATTTTTCAAAAAGCTTTTAAATGTTAAAAAAAAAACATGAAAATTCATGGAACATGTGTGGTTTTGAACCCGGACACACAGGGCACTAACCTACCCTTTTAAGGTATTTACGAATATGTTCTGGCTATGATCTATGACTTATCCCTGTACTTACTGCGCATGGTGAGGCCCACGGCCACATTGGGCGGTGGCTGGGGCATGTTGTGCTGGTAGTGCACCTGCACCTTGGGCACCGACTGGGGCAACTGCATCTGGATCTGCGGCAGCTGTTGCTGCTGTTGCTGCTGTTGCTGCTGCTGCTGCTGTTGCGCTTGAGCCTGCTGCTCCTGCTCCGACTCCTGGGCCATCTGGTCCAGCTCGTTCTCGTGATCACCCAGGGCGATGGTCAGATCGTCGTCCGGCCCACCGGCAATGGCCTTCACCACCTCCACATCGTCCGCGCAGACGAGGGCGACCTGTAGCCCCATTCCGGTTCGGGTTTGGGTGGTTAAATGGAAATGGAAACGGAGAAGATGAGAAGATGAGAAGTTGAGAAGTTGCGAAGAACGGAATGATTTCAGTTGGGGAATGCCAAATGGAATGGGCGCAGTGGCAAGTGGCGAGTGGCAGGTTGCAGGTTGCAAGGCGGATGCGGCATGCAACTCAATTGCATAAGGCAGCAAAAAGCCACTGGCAGCAAAAAGAAAAGAAAAGAAAGAGGAGAAAAGAGAAAAACCGCAGCCACTGCAACAATTTCGCTTTTTTTATTTCTTTCTTCTTTTTTTTTTTTTTTGTGCCACATGCAACGTGCGGCGACCCAATTGCCAGGGAGATCCGCCTGGCTTAAAAGGCGATGTCAAGGCTAGAACCAGACCAGACCAGGCCAGACCAGACGACAGCAACACAAACAAAAGGCAAAAGACCAAAGACACCGAAGACTGAAGACTGGAGACCCAAGACCCAGATTGAGATCGCGATCGACATCCAGTCGGAATTGCCGGGTTGCGGCGATGACGATGTGTACCCGATAATGGCCGTGTAACAGATTAGATACAATCTAGATAAATTAGACACTGGATGATGGGTGGGAAGAAACAACTACCCACTTCCACTTCCCTAGTAATTCTACAATTCTAAATGGTTGGGGGATAAAACACAGAGATTACGAAGATTGTGGAAACAAAAAATAAAAACTTGTTTCAATACTCCAGAAAATAGTAATTAGAAACTTGTCTCAATACCCCAGAAAATAGATAATAATAAAGACTTATTTTAAGGAATTTTAATATTTCAGGATACATTTTAAAAAGACTTATTTTAAAAGATTTTAAAATTTCAGGATATATTTTAACATTTCTGAAATTATTTATTTAATTCAATTTCTGTAAGCTACAAATCGTCAAAAGTTAAAAAGATTGTCAGTTTTATGATCTCAGCAGAAAAACAATCGATCCTCAGTTTTTTAAAGGATTTATCGATCAAAAAAGAAGTATAGAAATAGGTTCAAACCAGTCAAAAGTTAAAACGATTGTCAACCAATCGATCTGCAATATAAATATCGAAAAATAATCGACTTAAAATTTCCTATGAGCCTGATTTGACATTTTCGATTAAAAGTGATAAATCAAGATTGTACAATCGAGTGTGTTGAATGCAACCCATCCATACTTTCTAATCAAGACTCCCGTGTCGCATCCCGTAACTCCCGAGCTCCCATCTACCCAACTGTGAGATCTGCTAATAAACTTAATTAATTTTCCATTACTTTCTTTTTGCGTCCTTCACTTGGATTGGCCAATGGCCATGTTCCGGGTGACCAGATCTTAATTTTGCCTGGCCATTCAGGAACATCTTGATCCGCCGCGATGGCGATGGCTATGCCATGTACTTGTCGCTGAACTGGACTGATTCGGTTACCAAGTTGCCAAGTTGCCGGGCTATCTTGGCAATTAGACGACGAGTGTCCGTGGAGGGGGGAGTGGCACTGGAGCAATTGCGGACAGGTGGACGATGATGGCCATGGCCAAGATACCCATAACCATACCCATCCATACCCAAACCCATGGCCATGATGAAGATGCCCAGCGAAGATGGCGAGGCTGCATCCCATTTGGCCAAATCTGTGCCGCATCGCCGAAAACAACTTTCTCCGCCAACTGGGAAGCTGAGAAAACTGAGCATCCGAGTGTCTCAGTGTCTCAGTATCTTGGTATTGGATTTGTTGTCTTATTTTTTTTTGTTTCTGTTTTTTTAGTAGTCTCTAGATGGGATGTCGCAACGGCGGCGACGGCGGCATCCTGAAGCAATCCTGTTTGGTAGAAAGTGATGTGGCAAGCATCAAGCGGCAGACGATTGACGACAAAAAGGTAGATGGTAAATGGTAAATGGTAAATGCTGGCTGGCAATGGCGAGATGAGATGGTATGATGGTAAGATGGCAAACGAGTTGCCCGCGAAACGAATCCGAAAAACCAAAAAACCGAAAAACCCACTGCTACGAAATTCTATAATCAAATTTGCATGCGGGAACGTGATTTGGAGCGACTGCAGAAGCGAGCCATGAATACAAAAAACTAAAAACTATACTTAAGTACGAGCAATTCGTACAGAGAGAGAAAATATCACACACTTAATAAATCGCAAGAGAATTTGGGAACCTAAAAATGTTCTAGTTATGTTTAATGCTAATTTTTTGATCTGATTCTGTTGTAATATTTACCAATCAAGTTTTGTAATATTACCAAAAATTATTGTGTTTTAATTTTAACTTTTATATTTCAAATAATTAATTTTAGAAAATTTTTAAACATTTTTTTTTTAGAAATTTCAAAAAGTTATACATCTAATTTTAGACACCTTTGTATTTTTAAAACTATAATATTTGGTAATAATAATAATATAATATCGTTTTATTTTTAGGCAGATATTTCCCTTTCCCCTACAAATATTTGCCCCCAAAGATATCTAAAATTCGGTCTGTTCCGGTTCCCAGCTCATATGCGACTTTAACTGGAAACTAATCATCCCGAGAGAACTGCGTTAATTGAAATGTGTGCCAAGTGCGCTTCGCTGTTTGGCAATCATCCAGTGGGGAGTCGTGAGTTTCAGCTTAAACCCATTCCCCCCACACACACTTTAGTTTCCGTAATCCCCAATGGAGAAGACTAATGATGTGACTAAAGACTAGAGACCAAAGACGGAAGACAGAAGACAGAAGACAGAAGAAACCGGCTGTTGTTGCCAATCTTGACCTCGACCAATGTGCTAGGATTTCGGATTTGGGAAGAGACTTTGCCTGGCAGCCCACCAAATCGGGAGAAAGTGAAACATTAGCGGAGAATCGGAATTTGGCATCCACTTGGCCCGAAGGAGGAGGAAGGGAAGAGGCCGGCGGATGAGGGAGGGTCAAAGGTGAACGCCAGGCCGTTTGGCAGCATTTCTCGACCCCAAGATGAAAGCGAAAAGGAAGCGAAAAGTGGAGATGATGCTGCCACCACATGCTGCCGCTTGTTAAAGGAATGGAAAATGTTTTTTTCTCGTCTTTTTTTCGGCCTGGCTAAATTGTGTCATCGCCCCAGAATGGCCAAAATACAAAAAAAAAAACTTTCTAACCTCACGAATGCTGGGCCAAAAGAGATTCGGGACGGGGATGAGTGTTACCTAGGCAAAGTGGATGCACATGGAATTTTAATATGTGCCAAAAGGCGAAAAAGAGAAAGGAATGATGGGGATGCACTTCAAACGGAATGGTTATGTTATTGCTTCATTTTACTTTCGATAAGAAAAATCCTTTTTAAGTCAATAATAGCCTATGAGATATGATCTAAATATTTAATATAGGATGTTATTATAGATACTTTTGCACTTTGTTAAGATTAAATTAATTAAATAAAGTCTTATTTGACTGAAACTTAACTTAATCTTAACTTAAAGTTAAGAAGAATTTAAAAAATCTAGAGATTTCATTTGAAGATTGCAAAAAAATCTTAATTAAAACGTTTGCAACAGTGAGTTTCTAAATTCCCCAGATGACATCTACGATCTGCTATCTGTATCCTTTTCATTAAGCGCACTAATTACTCGATTCTCCGTTACTTTCCTCGCCGGTCACTTCGATATCTTATATGTATGCTTGTATATATTCCTGATTGGTTCCAGGAACTAAAAAACCAGCACATGTAACATTCGCACACACACACACACACGGGAAACGAGGCCATGCCAATTACACGTCCCATCCCAGCCTGTCCCATTCCAATGCATTCCTCTTCATTCCATTTCATTCCGGCAGAGGCGCTCTTTCACTTGCACACTAGGCAGACGACAGGCAGACAGAAGGAGAGAGGGAGGGGGGATGACGGAAAGAGAGAAAGAGCAGAGGCGCCGGAAGGGGGTGCATCTATATAGCAATATTACAAATAACTTTATAAAGATAAATCAAAATCTTTAAATTGATAATAAAGGCTTTTTCAAAACTAATAAAGAAATAATTAAATATGAATTCAATCTAAATTTACTGGTTTAGTGAAAATCCCCCTATGAAAACCCCTGTACGCCACTGAACGAATGAGAAGCTTAAGCCGGCTGCTGCTAATGGGAATTATCTATTTATAAGGTGATGTTGCTGCTGCCTTTGCTCATGTTGCCCATGTTGTTTGTGTTGCTGTTGTGTCTGCGGCTTTGGCTTAAATTGATTTCAATTATTTGCATCGGCTCAACTCACCTGCAGTGAAAGGAAAATGATAAGCGGCAGCCAAATCTTCTTAGCACCGATTTCTACGTTTCTTCGTAGATTTCTGCAGCGCACTTGTTTGTGTTGTTGCTGTGGATGTTGATGTTGCATGTTGCTGCCGTTACTGTGGTTGCTGCTGCTGCCGATGAATGTTGCTGTGTGTTAAACGTATAATTAATTTGTTTATCATTATTCGATATTTACTCTGGTTGTGGGCGGCCAAAGAATAAAGGAAAGCGGAAGAGGGAGAGGAAAAGAAAGAAGAAAGTGCTTTTCGCTTTTATTTCTTCTCATTGTTATGGTTACCTGCTATAAGAAAGTGTTTCCCGCTAATTGCAATTTATTAGCAATTTCTCAGTCAACTCAATGATGATTGATTGACTCGCTAAGTGTTGTGCCCCCCCTAGCCCCCCTTCTACGCCCCTCCACCCCACCCACTGACCAACAGTCCATAAATGAAAATAAAAAATTAAGAAAAAAGACAGACTGAAAGAAAGGGAAGCTGAAGCTCTGAAGCTGCGACAAGTCGAGAAAGAAAAGAATCTGTTTAATGACAACTCACTTAACTCTTAAGACTCGCCGGAGAAAAGGGTAACTGCGGAGGTGAAAAGTGTTAATAGGTTTCCCCATAACTCAAGTGGGTCATCTTGGCCCAGACAAATATGAGTGCGCTTAGTTGGCCAATTAGAAGGCCAAAGATAGTGACAAAGGTGTGAGGAAATTCCGCGGAAAGAGAGAGTGAAGAAAGAGTGAATGCAAGAAAGAAAGACGAGGCAGAACTTTGGAAGAATAAAGTGAATTCTTCATTCATTGTCCATTGACCTTGACCATTGTCCACTCTTTTTGGCAAATATCTTACTATATTCTCTATAAAAGTCCATATCAGTGTTTAATTTTTTAAATTTTTCACTTAAAATGAGGAAAATAGGAAACCGTAATAATGAAAAAGCTGTAGTCACCTCCTCCTCCAATTTAATGTATGTACACCTCATAAAAGTTAAAACGAATGGCCTTTTTAAATAAAAATGGTAACTAAAAACATTTAAGCAGTAATTAAAAAAACACTAATTTTTTCAGATTATAAAGCCTTAATTAATAGCTGTTGCATGTTTAAAATAATTGACATTAATTGACATTTAAAAGATATTTAAAGAAAACAAAAGGCTGTTAATTCACTGTTTTCACTTTTACGATCACTCGGTGAATATTTTCAATTATTCAGCTGCAATTCCTTTAATTTTATATTTAAGTATTTTAGTTGTTATAAAGAAAATGGCAATGTTACCTTTTAAACTTTTGTATTAATATTTTAAAACTTTTCCACATTTTTGAAATGCAAATATTCTGATAAAAAAAACTTTGTTTAGTTAAAGGAAATAAAACAAAAAGTACCCTAAAAGTTTAGGATGTTTAATTTTTACATTTTAGTAACAAAAAACAATAAGTAAAGGTGATTTACGTTAAAATATTTTATTTTTTCATTTAAAATATTTGATCTGAAGTGTAGGTGATATCTTATAATATTAAATAGTGGGCCTTAAAAGTTTGGTGAGCTTAGCGAACTGCAAGATCCTAACTGATCCTAACTCCCTCTCTATCTATCTATATGTCATAAATTTCCACCCCCTTTGTTTTATCCCTTAGTTCCTCTTCCTGCGCTAGTTCCGCTATAGGATTAACTTCCGGTTCTTGGGATCCCACTGCGATCTGCCGGCACTCACCTCTTGGGTCCTTGGCCCGATTCCGATGCAGTTCCGATACCAATTCCGATTCCAATTCCAAATTCCGCAGGCTGACAAACAGGATGCGTTAGCGACAACTTTCGAAAAACGGTTGCACTCGAACGGTGGCCGTTACTTCTGCCCGCTGATGTTGCTGATGTTGCTGCTGCTGCTGTTGCTGCTGCTGATGTTGCTGCTGCTGATGTTGCTGCTGTCCGCTGATGTTGCTGCTGATGGGCTGACGGTAATGACAGCAGCGGGGGGCCGAAGGGGGGCGTTGCACGCGGTCAACAATTAACGATCGCAAGTGGAGCACACACAAAAGAAAATATCAAATAAAAAAAAAAAAAAAAAAAAGGACACAAAAAGCGTGTTGATCACTTGGCTAACCGTTTCGCAAGCGGTTCTTTCCGTTTCGCTTGGGTTTTTCTATTATTTCTTTTTGTTTTGCTCCGATTCGCAGAGTGTTTTGTAGTGTTTGGCTTTTTTATTTCATCGGTTGTTCGTTGTTTATACTTTTTGTTTGGTGTTTGGTGTTTTTTTTTTTTCTTTCGATTTTCGGTTTATTTGAACCCGAGGATCTGTCGATCGATTGGCTGGATATGGACTCCCGCCTGAAGGAGGAGGTGGAAGAGAGAGAGAGAAACGCGTCTGCTTCGCGCCGTGGTTTAGCGCCGAATGCTGCAGACACCTGCTTTCTCGCAGCGGAACACTTCGCATGCGCAGCAGCAGCAGCATTGCGCCGTCGACGTCGCAGTCGGCGCCGGCAGCGAAATTTCTTCTTTCCATTGAGGCCTCCACTAAGGCAGTCGGCCAAGTCCAAATCCAAAATACGATGCCAAGTACGACTTGTTCAAGTACAGCTCGCCGGTTGCTGCATGTTGTGTGTTTGGTGTTGCACGTTGTTGCTGCTGCTTTTTGGGCCCAATGTGGCATGCGTTGCCAGTTGGTTTCCCCAGTCTTCTGTTTGTTTATACTGGGCAGCAGCTTCAACTTTCAGTTGCAATGGGTTACAGAAGCAGCAGACGTCGGTGACAATTGCATGAAGACAAGTCCTCTAACTGTTTGCACTTTCTATTCCCCTAACCCCAACTTAAACCCAACTTAAACCCGAACCCCCTCCCCACCTAAAACCCACAATTATTGACCACTGCCCATGCTCCAATTGTGGCAAGCAGTCAAGCCAAAGAAATGGGCGTGGGCGCCCTTTGATTGCCACACGTTGCGTTATCCAAGTGGCGGTTAGTGGGGGGTTAGCGCTCGGTTAGTGGCTCAGGTGGCTTGGCTCGGGTTTACCTTAAAGGGGAAGAGATATCGTATTTTTATTTATTCACTCCCCTTTGCGATGTTTCATCGACTGTTCCACTTTTCCATAAAATATTTTTGCCAACTGCCGCATTTGGCATTGTCGAGCAACAACAACAAAACTGTAACATCAACAACTGAAGCAACAACGACAACAACACACATATGTGCTGCACTTGCTCTCGTTGAAATAATAGGATGAGCAACGTGCCACAACGAAGGCAAACTGATAACCCGAAGGCACAGTGGTTCGAAATTACTTAAAAATTTGATTCAAGTTGATATATAAATAATCAAAAAAAAACAGAAATTTTTAGTTATAGTTTAAAATGTACCAAGAGAAAAACAATTATTACTTTACCAGTTCTTTTATTAAATTTCTTTATCAACTGTAAAATTGTTTGGTAATTTTTATTTATTTTTTTTTATTGGTAAATAAAATTTATTTTTATGATCCATTATTATTGGTTAAAATTCAGATGTTTTTGATGTTCTAAAAGTTTAAGGCCAACAATCTGTAATACAGATTACATACAGAATGATCTTTTTATGATCCAAAATTTATTCAACTAGTAGAACTATTAGTTCTTTATTTTACGAAATATTAGTTTTTATAAACTTTCAATTGATTTGTTGGTCCTGGACTGAATATTTTAAAGGGGTTGGACCCACTGTGCCGGCATGACGATCCCGTCGGGCCGCCCGGGCATTTCATCGCCATTTCAATTCCACTTTGCAGCATTGAGTTGAGTCTTTTTTTTTTTTAGGGGCGCCGCCGCGTGTCTCTCCTCGCGATTCCTGTTTGCTAAATATGACCAAAAAGACCCGTTTCGAAATTGGAGTAATTTCGATTGGAGTCACAGTAGTGCTGCGATGCCTCGATGCTCCAATCCTCCGATGCTCCGGTTCCGCCAGAAAGTGGCCAGCGGCCGCGTCTATCGGCGATCGTCTATCGGTCCGCTTTGCACATTAAGTAACACGCGCCATTCAGTCTACCGCCGGCATTTTTGAGCCTGTGACCGTCTAACTTGGCTAACTTGGTCAATTACTCGCCAGTTTTGCATGATCAAGGGGTTTGGGATGTGAATATGAATCTGAGTCCCCCATTTCTCATCCCCGGAAGATGAATATACCATACGATGATACATCTTATAGAGAAGGGCAGCCGGTCGCACGCCTCACGCATCTTAAGCGGCGTCGCGAGATGTCTTATTAAAAGTATCTTGTTACTTTCACCATCCACCGCCGACTTGAATTGCGCTTCAATTTCTCACAACTTTTTTTTTTCTTTTTTAAGGAAAGAGAGTTGGGGGGTTGACCAAATGTGTTGCCGTGTTTTTTTTTCAGTTGCAAAAGGTCTCTGGGTGAAAACTTGATGACGGTCCAGCAGGTCGAAGTTACCCATGTGATTCCATCGGGATCCTACGGATTCTATCTGGAGCTAATGCTACAAACACACACATATGTACCTGTGTGTTGGCCGGGCCAAAATCCTCTTCGCCACGCCGGTTTCTAGCCAACTATTTGGGTCGCTCTCACAATTTATTGGTTTAGTTTTCATTGCATTGACACTTCATCATCGCCGGCAAAAGTGCCAGCGTTTGTCATCTGTCGCGCTTGTTTTTCAGTTGCTGCTGTCGCTGGTGTTGCTGGTGTTCCTGGTGTTGCTGGTGTGCAACAGCAGCATGTTGCTGCTGCAGCATAACCTTTCGGCTGTTTGGCCAGCGCCCAGAGGGGTTACAAGGTGGCAATGGCAAATGCGATGGCGGAGACAGATCTCGACCAAAGTGAAAACGCCGCCAACAAAAACAAGTGCCACGGCGGCAGCAACAACTGCTGCAACTACAACTGCAACAGCAAACAGTAGCAATCGCTGCCATTAGGCCATGAGAAGACTCTTTTTGTCCGCTGTGGGTGTGGAAATTATAAGCGAAGAAGCCGCCACCCAAGGGAGAAGAATTGGGTTAGAGCCACAGCCGGCGGTGCACTGGGAAAAAAGAACTACCAACTACCAGAAATATCACTTTTTAGCTGGCATCCCAATTATATTTCAAAATATCCTTGTTTATTGATAAAGATTTTAGTATAAGAAAAATAATTTTCATATTTTTCAATTAAA